CCTAGCTCGCGGCCCCAGGGAGCGAAGAGGAGCCTTGGGGACCGGGGGGCGGGGCTCTCCGGGCCTCCCTTGAGCTGCAGCGCTCTTGCACAGGCTCGGGGGACCCGGGAGCGGGGCCCTCCCGGCTTCCCCTGAGCCGCAGTGCTCCTGCGCGGGCTTGGGGAACCTGGGGGCGGGGCTGGGGGCGGGGCTTGCCCGCGCGGGCTGCCGAAGCGGCGCTCCGGAGGGCTCCGGGGCGATGAGAGCCCTGGAACTGGCCCTTAAGAGACCATTTAATGTTGGGGGTGCATGCAAAAAATACTTCTGCCATCTCCCTTTTGACAGCATTCTGAGATGTACAGTTATGTGAATTTGAATATTCATTTTGACACCCCTTGCAGTTCAAGGTATTTCAGTGTTGTGAAGGGAAATACAGGATGTGATGCGAAATGGAAAATCAGCCTTAAGCATCTTAATGTTAATAGGAAATATGTCCTGTACAAAACCAGGAAGAAATTTAATTCAGCACCTGAAACAAGGAGAATAGAACGGATATTTTCAAGCTCCTGAGTAGTTCTGGAAAACCAAGTTATAAAATGACAACACTGCCATTCACCACTCTTTCTATAATGGAGCTGCTTTGTCTTGGCTTCAGTGTTGTATGGAGATGTCTTCTGGTGCTTGAGCCTGTAACCCTAAGAATAATGACTTCCATTTAGCTGAATAGGACATGAGTAAAAGAGCACAGGATGAATTTTTTTGTACTAGCGTTCAAATTACTGTGCCAGGAACATTCCTAAGCTATTGCCTTTGCTGTGTCTGTTAAAAGGGCCGTGATGACCTGCGACAGGATGCTGTTATGCAGCAGGTTTTCCAGATGTGCAACACTCTGCTCCAGCAAAATACTGAGACCCGGAAAAGAAAGTTGACTATCCGCAGATATAAGGCAAGGCCCCGGCTGCTGTCGCACCAGCGTGGTCCAGAACAGATACAATGGCAGCTACTTGCAAACTTTTTTGAAAACTGGGAGCTCTCGCACCTCCCTTCTGTGGAGGGGTTCCTTCTGTGTTCCCTTTTGAACACCCCGGTTCAATGTGATATGTGCTCTGTCAAAAACTGTGGCTTTTCAACATGATTTAGAATGAGCTTGTCAATTACGCCACCTAATGTGTGTTTGGTCATTTCCTAGGTGGTTCCCCTCTCTCAGAGAAGTGGTGTCCTAGAGTGGTGCACAGGAACAATCCCTCTGGGTGAATTCCTCATCAATACTGACAGCAGTGCCCACAAAAGATACAGGCCACAGGATTACAGTAATCTCTTCTGTCAAAAGACAATGACGGTGAGTCAGAATTTGGGGGTGGGGGGGAGGCTGGCACCTAGACAGTGCCAGTGGAAGTGCTGGCAGAGGCAGCTCTTTTCTCCCTTTGCCCTGGGAGTTCTGGAATGTGTGATGTTGCTGGTTGGGGGAAACCATGTGATCTGAAAGCCCTGCAGAATGGGCAGCTGCAGTGAGGAGGAGGATGCAGTCAAAATTGCCTGCCTTGTGCCAGCAGTGCCTCTGTTGCCAGCAGAAAGGAAGCATAACTATCTCATTCTGTTTAGTGAATGAGAGAACTGCTGACTGCTCCTCTGGGGAAACTGAAGCTGTATCAACTAACCAGTTTCATGCTTTGTAACACTTCCAGTGTTCCCTCTAAGCTGTGGAGTCTTGTGAGCAAAAATTCTACTCTGTGAGCTACTGGCATTACAGTTGTGAGCGAGCGATTTGGCTACTGCATAAATCAGTGTGCTCTGGAGCCATCCTTCGTGAGCTAAGACAAAAATCTGTGAGCCGGAGACTAAAAAACTGTGAGCTAGCTCACACTAACTCAGCTTAGAGGGAACCCTGCGCAGTTCTTCGCATGGGACTAAGCAGACGTACAGAACGAGGGAAGGTACCCTTCAGAAGGGTGGCATGCTCGAGCACGTGATGCTGAGGAGGGCTCCATACTTTATCCTCCTGCCCTAATTTAAGGCATCCTCGAAAGTGGCCAGCATGGGTCCCTCCAGTGCATAGGCTAGGCAGAGAAACTATTCCTGTCTCTAAATTATTCATATTTCACTTCACAGGAGGCCCAGAAGAAAGGTTCTGAGGAGAAACATGATATCTTCATGGACATTTGCCAACATTTTCAACCAGTATTTCGCTACTTCTGTATGGAGAAATTTCTTGATCCGGCGGTGTGGTTTGAGAAACGTTTGGCGTACACACGCAGTGTGGCTACATCATCCATAGGTACTGTAAAATAAATGTAGTTGGTTTCGGCCACGGTTTAGCAGTTAACACGTTTTCAATCCAAGTGCTATTGTAGGTTCTCCGTAAAATTAAGAATATGACCCTTTTCCAAACTACTGATGAGAAGCTGCAAAGAATAGCGTTTTTACCCAAGCAGTTGTGACTAAGGATACGAGTTGTAATCTGCATTGGCTTAATTTAAGTGTATTAATTTGTAGGTGTATGGAATTTGATCCAAGAACGCAACTGGCTTAAGTTTATTAATTTGTACGTGTTTGGAATTTGATCCAAGAACACAGCTTTTAATTGAAAATGGTTAATACTTATGGAGGGTACTTTATTTTCCCTGAGTTTTTGATTCTGGTGTGTCACTGTGTTAGGGGAATAAAAAGTTATGTTCTCTCGGAGATAGAAAGAGCATATTATTCCTCAGTCAGCTGGGCACCAACCCCCTTGCTCTCCTTGAAAAACTATTCTGAAGGTAAGGGGGCCTTTCAGTGTTGTTCAGTGCTACAAGATGGGCTGCAGTGAGGCTGGAAAATAGACACCCATCCCAAGCATTCACGGAAGGCTGTTTTGATCTTGCTTTAGGCAAGCTAGCCAGTTTGCCTCTAGATGTGCTCTGTTTTAGAAGTCACACAATTTTATAAAAATACATATATGAGAAGCAGTTGAATGAAATGTATAGTTAATGTATTTGTGGCTTCATTTTAAGACTTTACACTTTCAGTTGGCTACATACTTGGTCTTGGAGACAGACATGTACAGAATATTCTGTTAGATGAGCAGACTGCAGAACTGGTACACATAGATCTAGGTATGTATAAAAGCAAGGAATTGGGTTTCAAATTTGATTTCATTTATGCTTGTTGAAGTTATATTTCAAAAATGTTTCTGTCTCTCCTGTTCTTTATTAGGTGTTGCCTTTGAGCAAGGCAAAATCCTTCCTACCCCAGAAACTGTACCTTTTAGGTTAACTAGAGATGTAGTAGATGGAATGGGTATCACTGGAGTTGAGGGAGTCTTCAGGAGGTAAGGTAGTTAATGTAAATGCAGTCTGAAGTTACTGTTTCCATGTTAAATGCTCCACAGAATCCTAGCTGTTCATTTGCTTGAAAAACTGCCTAGAATATTGGCTGTTTAATTAGGTACACCTGTTGCTGTATGATATGTCAGTCAAGCAGAGCCAATAAACAGTTGTAAAAAATGAAAAGTAATCTTATGTTAACATGAACAGTGCAAACTAATTAATAAATGAAGCATTTGAAAATATTTTCTAGGTGCTGTGAAAAAACTATGGCTGTCATGAGAAATTCCCAAGAAGCTCTGCTAACCATTGTAGAGGTAAGTGTTTCTTCACGTCTCCAGCAGCAAACAGTAAAGAGTGCTGTAATTCCCTGCATTCTTTAATGTTGCCAAAATGACATGGTTACTGGCTTCTGCTCAAATCACCATTGTCATTAATGCTTGTGCCTGTGGCCCCTCTCTTCTGCTCGAATCACCATTGCCATTAATGCTTGTGCCTGTGGCCCCTCTCGCACTAGATTTGTCACCATGCCAGAATACCCCTGTGGCTTGTTCCAGTCCTGATCTCCAGTGTAAGGAGGTCGACAGTTTATAGCCTAGGAATGAACGGTCCTCTTAGCTTTATGTAGAAACATCTTCGTGTCTTGTCGCATCCAGGTGCTTCTATATGACCCCCTTTTTGACTGGACCATGAACCCTTTAAAAGCTTTGTACCTGCAGCAAAGGCTGGAGGATGAGGCCGACACCAGTGGCAGCCTCAACCCTTCCAATCAAGAATGTAACACAAAAGCAAGGTAAGGGAATCTCTTGTCTGCCCCTGTGGTGGTGTTTTTGTCTTCAGGTTTTGTAACTTTCCATTTTCTTACTTTCAGTAGTGACACCCAGACCTTTAATAAAGTGGCGGAGCGTGTCCTGATGCGACTTCAGGAGAAACTGAAAGGAGTAGAGGAAGGGACCGTGCTCAGTGTGGGAGGCCAGGTGAACCTTCTCATACAACAAGCCATGGATCCCAAAAACCTCAGCCGCCTCTATCCGGGCTGGAAAGCCTGGGTGTGAACATGGATGGTAGGTTGAAACAAGCAAAAGTAAATAAATAAATGGGCTCAGCTACGAGGGGCAGGAGGAGTGGTCACCATTTCAAATTATGTAAAAACCACTTGAACACTGTGTCTGATTATTTTGTCTGATCGGTCAAAGGTTTCTTTGGGGGGGGGAGTTGCGTTTCACTTGACTAAGGATACAAGGCATATAGTATGTATTTCAGAAAGCTAATGCTGCTACCATTTGCATGAATTCAAAAGAATAGAAATGGTTAATATAACCCCTGCTTAGTTTACAGCCTAGGAATGGTACTGCAATACAGTGCTGCTCTTTATGGTTTCGGTATGTTAAAAGGGACAGAGCTTTGCCTCTAAACCTGGTGTTGGGAAATGCACAATGGCCACAGTGTCGGGCCGCCATGCAAGGTGCCCCATGCTGAGGTCCCTTCCAGACTGTTAGAAATACACAGCAGTGCTGTTGAGAAAAGACACCCGCCAATTTTATTCGGCACATTCACTGTAGAAATAGCCGGGAGCTTTTATTAGTAGTATGTAGACAGAGTCTTGGTAGATCAGGCCTGTAAAGCTGTCCAGGGCCAAAAGATAATATGCCTAAAACTGACATAGGTTACACAGCCCAGAAGACTGCATTTCAGTCTGGAAAACAAATGCATTTGGAAATGATAAAACTAATGTATAACATTTGCAGATAGAGCTTTACTTCAGCAATTGTTTATGGCTACAATTATTTGTATTATTGAGGGTATATAGGCACAGAAAATCCCTCCACTGTGGACTGCTGGATATTCTTTTGCTTTTTATAAACGCTGAGTGAAATGCTTGTTTTAAAAGCCACAGGCACATATCCCACCATTCTGTTCAGCAAACCATCATGTGCAACGTGTACTCTTCACCTATTCTGTATCCTACAGTTCATGGTTATTATTATTACCATTTAAAGAGACATTAATATGAACTTACTATGTTAGTAAGCTCAAATATGTAAATCAGATATGCTCCTTTATACTGTAATACTTTCTGGAATGTATGGTTAAATTCATGGAAAGAATAAATTTTCTCATGTCCTTTTTGAATTCTGTGCTGATTGGTATTGATATGGTATAAATGGGGACAGCATCTAGCAGTGAGCTCATCTGTAGTTTAAAACCAAGTGACAGCTTTATTAATTACATGGAAAAACAAAGCTTCAGAGTCAATTTCTTTATCTCCAAAATATCATAGAATTCTGTAATATTTTGGAGATAAACAGCTTTGTTAATTACATAGACTCAATTTCTTCATCTCAAAAATATATTTTGCACTTTATTCCCCTGCAACATAGCAGTAAAAAAGAACAAAACTAAGCTATGGGGCAAGCGGCAAGAATTTCACCTATGGTACTTAACTTTGTGATGGTATTAGAACGTGGACTATACCATCCTTGTAAGGGGGGCAGTGGCTTTCTCTGTGGATTCCAGACTTATATGCCCAAGTTTTATCACTCAGTTGTTCCTAATAAGACTTACTGGCAGAGTGCGCTGTTCTTGCTAAGGACACAGTGGGGGAGAGCCCCCCCCTTCAGCTTTATCCTAAACTTCCAACTTAACAAACAAGACAGAGCAAGTCTCATCCAATCATTTCTTGAAGTATTTTAGACAAGTATAATTAAGGAGTGCTCTTCATGTACATTTTATAACCACCTACATAGTATATACATACCCTAGGTTATTTAACTTTATAGCATAGTACTGTTAGATCTGATTTCAAAGTGATTTGGATAGTATGTTCGTGTGCCAGGAAATACAGGAACACGGCTGACACGTACAACAGGGACTCCCTTTCTTGCATTCCACCTGCCGAGTTACTTTTTGTCCACTGAAGCTTTATTTTACTTAGTTTAAGAAGTTACCAGTGTGATTACGACTGGCAAAGAATTTTTCCAGGCTTTCTTTCCCTCTTTGTACTGAGGGTTTTTTTACCAAACTCGGTTTCTGTTGAAGAGGTTCTGCTATTTTTTGTGTAGGTTCCACTTCGTTGATCACCTCTTGTATCTCAGACGATTCAGAAGGCTTGTAGCGCTCAGTAAACCAGAAACCTAAACATTAGAAATGGAAATGAAGGTAATCTGAATAATACTGGCGAAGTGGGTTAGAAAGGCTTAACTGCTTAGAAGGGCACTATCTAACCTTTATAGAAAGCGAACCTTTGCTGTAAACTGATATGAATTCTGTGCCCTGCCCTTCAGGACTTATGCTTATTAGCCCAATAGTGATTGACAGTTTGGTGTAGTGGTTAAGAGCACGGACTGTAATCTAGGAGAACCGGGTTTGATTCCCTACTCCTCCACATGCAGCTGCTGGTGTGACCTTGGGTCAGTCATAAGCTCTTTCAGAGCTGTTCTCTCAAGGGCAGTTCACAAGAGAGCTCTCTCAGCCCCACCTACCTCACAAGATGTCTGTTGTGGGGAGGGGAAAGCCACTCTGAGACTCCTTCGGGGAGTGAAGGGTGGGGTATAAATCCAATCTCTCTCTCTCCTCTCTCTCTCTCTCTCTCTCTCTCTCGCTCTCTCTCACACACACGCACACACACACACAGCTTGTGTGGTCTGTTGGTGAATGAAAAGAAAGTCCTGAAGACGGGTTACTCTTTGCATTTGCTCTGTGCAGCAGGGCTATTTAAATTAGCTAGGTATGGAAAGATGCCCTTGCAAAGTTTGAAATGAAGAATAAAATGAATAAAAATGAACTTAGAAACTAGAAGAATAAGAAGAGATTGGATTTATACCCCGCCCTTCACTTGGAGTCTCAGAGCGGCTTACAAACTCCTCTCCCTCCCCCTCCCCACAACAGACACCCTGTGAGGTGGGTGGGGCTGAGAGAACTCTGACACAAACTGCTCTTTTTCAAGGACAGCTGTGCCAGAGCTTGTGACTGACCCAAGGTCACATCAGCAGGTGCAAGTGGAGGAGTGGGGAATCAAACCCGGTTCTCCCAGATTAGAGTTCGTGCACTTAACCACTACACCAAACTGGCTCTCCAGGAATAATTCAAAAAAATCAGAAACAGTGGTGTACTATGAAGCCAACGGGAAGAGTAGGAATGAAAAAAGGAGAGCCAGGGATACCTCTTCATACTAATCCCATGACATAAACCATTGGATTCCTAGTGAATAGTTAAGGGCTGCCTCTTAGAAACAGTTTGAAATGGAGTGATTAGAGAGGGCCTGTTCTCCTCTCTTGCCCAGGACTGTATAGGGATAGCAGTGAATGGACACCTTGATTCATATCCACAAGGAAGAGGTTAAATGCTTCTCTTACCCTGCAGTGGAAGAATCAAGGTCTATGCCTACATCACTGTGTAAAGGCTCCCCAAATATAGCCTCATATATTCTGTTGGTGGTGTCCTTCATTGATCACAGCAGAGTATCCACAGTTCCCCTGGAATATCTGGAAGTATTCCAGTGTTGCCGCTCGGCTACCAAATGCAGAAGCAGAGCCAAACTGGATCTGGGTGGAGAAGGGGCACCTGAGAAGATTGTTGTAGGGTGGAATTATCTAGCATAGTCTAATGGTGAAATTTCATGATGTCTGAAAGCTCTGGTCAGTCTGTGCGACCAATTAGGTGCACCTAGAAGGCGGTCCAGTCTCTCCTGCCCTGTCTTCTGTAACGCTCTGAAAATGAGGAGAGGTAGAGGTGGAGGAAAGGCATAGAGGAGATCTACTCAAAATGAGTGGAGGTGGAGGAAAGGCATAGAGGAGATCTGGTTGCTAGCAGGACATCTATGCCCTCGGCCTCTTATGGAGAGGAGTCTGTCTATGAAGAATCCATACTGAATATTTTGGAGGACCAAAATGTTGGAGGATATGTTTTACAAATCTGGGCAAAATGTTGGATCAGGCCACCCACTGGAAGAGGGTGAGATATGCCTTAAGTTGCCTGCAGGGTGAAATGTTGGATCAGGCCAATGCTGTTCTAGATTGGTATTTGGAGCATGTGAAAAGTGCCCAGATCTGAAATGAGAGCTTTAAAAAGCAAATGGAGGTATTCCCATAGCCTTATTTGATAAGTTTGGTGTCATCCTTTGGCACAACGTAGCTTTTTGGCTATTTGTCTTGGTTTCTACCAGGACCTCATTGCCCAAACACCTGGGCCGCTGAAAAGGAACTGCTCTGTCAGAATCTCTGCAAGACAGGCTACCAGAATCAGCATCTGGCACGGTTCATGTAGCCCCCTTCCATCCAGGGTCACGATGAATACTTGTCTCATCACTTCTCTACAACCTACTGCCACTAAACAGTTGCTGCTTTAGCAGGTCTTCTCCACTGAGCTGCAGCAGCAGGTGCATAGTTGGCACACAAGCAGGAGGTGACAGTCATCACCGGACTGCTGACCCACTGATAAGAGCTCTGCTTTCCCACTCTAGGAGAAGATGAGGGGGGGGGGGTAAGTGATTAAAGGGTAATTAAAGACAGGCATGAAGACAGAGCAGAGCTTTGAGGTGCCTGTGCTCTGCCTAGCAGGCAAGACCAGAACTGAAACAAGCTTCCTCTCACCAGACAAGGGCATGCACCAATCTATTTTAAATATCCCCACCTCACGGAGCAAGTTCAAGACAACCTCGGCTGATGCTTCAGAGTGCCAGTTTGCCCACAAGAATAAGCATTTCCCCTCACAAATCTATTTCATTGGTCAGTTTCTGTACCCCGCCCCTCACTAAAACCCACATGGTTCCCGAGGATCCCTGCCCTTCTGAAGCACCTTTTGGGGGGCTAAAGGATCCATTCCGCTGATGGTAGTTGGGACCCAACTTCAGCCAAAGTTAAACAGATCTAGCATCCAACAGAGATCCCACGTCTGAGTCACAGTGAAGGGAAGCAGGGACAAAGAACATGAGACCAAGGTCCCCTCCCTCTCTGTCTGGATGAAGCTCCCTGTTTGTACACAAACAACCCTTGAATGGTGGTCAAACATGAACACTCCTTCAGCATTTTTTTTATGTAGTTCATTTATACTCTCCTTTTCTGCACAAGGGGGATCCCAAGTGCAACATTCTACCTTCCTCTATTAGGTCTCTGTAGAAAAAACAGATCAAACTGGCATTTGAATTGAACTAGCAAAAGGCAGGCTGCATTCTTTTACATCAGCCACTCATTTCTGTGGCACTGGAGCTGCGATGGCCAGGCAATGAAACCTGATACGCTATTAGGCAACCCTGTAGATTTTCCCTTAGGTTGCTTTTGAAAGTGAAATAGTTGTTTGCAAAACCATAAATAATCCTGGCAGTAGAAGCGTTTACAACAGCCTACTGCATGATCTAATGTGTTTCTTTGGTCTCTTACAAAACGCCTTGGAATGCTCAAATGCATTACTTAATTGTTAACGACAACACTGCTAATTGGGTAATGTATTTGCCTGCCTGTTCTCAGGCATTCTTTAAAAGCTGAGTCATACGGGAAGTAAAGATCCGGGGCCCAATGTAATAAGCTGCACAATGCACACAATGACACCGCGGTGAATTTCATTTGGGGGTTCCCTGTTCTGGATGAGGAGTGGCTGCGTGGTGTGAGGTTCTTTCTCGATCCAGGATGATAATCAAAAGGGTTGAAACAAAAAGGTACAATATAACTATGCACATAGTGAAATGTACAAAATATTGTATATAATAAAACATTTAGATTGCTAAAATATTAAAAACAACAATCCTGTGGTTCAGCATATAATCACCTAATCCCAATATCAAGACAAATGTCCGTTTATATAAATACTGGTTTAAAAGTACAAATCATGGGAGGGTTGCAATTTTTTTTTTAAACCGGTATTTTTTGGTTCAAGTCTATTAGACCGGGGGGGGGGGAAAACACAGGATTTCCGCAAATCCCAGATCCTATTACTGGTATTGTATTCAGATCTGGGTGGGGTTTTTTTTTTAATCCTGAACTTTTCCAGGTCCAATAAACCCGAGAAGAAAAAAATGGGGGTGGGGGGGGAGTTGTGGGGAAGCCACAAAAAACAGCTGACAGAGCAGATTGCTCCCCCCGCCAGCTGTTTGTCAGGCTTTCTACTGGATTCTCTTTAAATGGGGTGCTTAAAGGGCCTGCAGAAGACAGCCCAACAAACAGCTGACCTGTGGGGAGCAGTCAGTCTCCCTGTGGGCTCAGCTGAGCTTAGGGCTGGCTTCCCACCCAGCCCCGTTTAACCAAGGCTGCATGAGAAGCCACCCCAAAGCTGAGCTGGCTGGGAGCACTCTGCTTCCGACCGGCTCAGCTGATCCTTGAGCTAGCTTCTGCAGGTCCTTGAAACTTTAAAAAGACTGCCGTAGAAAGCCCGACAAACGGCTATTTTTCAGATCTACACCCCCGAATATATCCAGGATTTTTTTTTTCGTTTCCCCCAAAAATCCTGGATATCTTTGGTATGCCAAAATATCCCAATAAGGTATTTCTTGGCTATATTTGCAGCTCTTCTGAATGCAAATCCCTGGTAAGTATTGTCTCCATATTCAAGAATCAATAGCACCAAACGCATTTCAGCACTTGACCTTCCTCAGCGGTATAATTCAAACTGAGCACTCCGTTAATTTAACAAAAACATACATAAAACTGATCATACATAGAATGGACCCAAAATGAAGGGATAAAACAGAAATAATTATCTATATGTCTGTTAAGGCACAAAATTTATTTAAATGTTTGAAATGCATGGAGCTTCCTTTGCCCATGGATCTAAAAATCACATAAAACGTGACTAGGCAACTGCAAATTTAAAAGTCTCCTAAACAGTTGATTCTTTTCTAGTTGTACCTGAGCACTCCACTGGAGCTTTGAGCATTTCAGATTGGATTTAAGAAGTTTTCCCCAGTTGGCAACATAGCGTTTTCTCTAAAACCATTAGGAGACTTTTTAATTTGCAACTGCTTAGTCACATGTTTTATGTGATTTTTAGATCCATGGGCAAAGGAAATATTTTACATCTTGATGAAAATATGAAGAAAGGTTAAGGCGCTTGGGGCTCTTTAGCTTGGAGAAATGATGACTGAGAGGTGACATGATGGAGGTTTACAAGATTATACATGGGATAGAGCAGGTAGAGAAATTAGTACCGTTCTCCCTTTCTCACAATGCAAGAACTCATGGGCACTCAATTATGTTGCTGAGCAGTCAAGTTAGAACAGATAAAAGGAAGTATTTTTTCACCAAAAGAGTGATTAACACATGGAATTCACTGCCACAGGAGGTGGCGGCGGCTACAAGCATGGACGGTTTGAAGAGGAAACTGGATAAATATATGGAGCAGAGGTCCATCAGTGGCTATTAGCCACAAGGAACTCTCAGGCTGGGGCAAGTGATGCTTTGTATTCTTGGTGCTTGGGGGGGGGGAACAGTGGGAGGGCTTCTAGTGACCTGGCCCCACTGGTGGACCTCCTGATGGCACCTGGTATTTTTGGCCACTGTGTGATACAGAGTGTTGGAATGGATGAGCCATTGGCCTGATCCAACACTGGCCTCTCTTATGTTCTTATGAGCTGCCCATGTTGTATCACAAGAAAATTTGACACCACTTGCTCCACAGGTGAACACCTTCATGTGAGTAAGGTAGCTATCCCAGTTCCATGTATTTCAAAAATTTAAATTAATTTTCTTCCTTAAAAAAACATATAATTATTTCTCTTTTCCCCCTTCATTTTATTCTGTGTATGATTAGTTTTATGTATAATTTTGTTAAATTGAATTAATGAGTGCCCAGTTTGAATTATACCACCGAAAAAGGCCAGGTGCCAAAACACATTTAGTGGTACTGGTTCTTGCAAATGGAGACAATATGTACTGTTAAACCAGTATTTATGTATATGGACATTTGTCTTTAATTGGGATTAGGTACCTATATGCTGAACCACAGGACTGTTGTTTTTAAATGATATTTTAGCACTTCTGAACATATTATTAAATTATATACAATATTTTGTACATTTGCATTATGTGCATAGTTATTTTTTATGTTCTTTTTCTTTGTTCCAACCTTTTCAGGTACCTTTCTCGTGCAGGCTTGTGTTTTCCTCCCCCTTTTTTGGTTGTACTCATGTTCCTGGACCCAGGGCCTCCTGTTGGATGAACAGGTAGCAGCAATGGACAGGAGTGCCTTTCACCAGCTTTGGCTGGTGAGCAGAAAAGATCTCGTCATTGTGGTGCATGCCTGGTAACATCTCAATTACTAAAATGTTCTTTACATGGAGCTGCTCTTGAAGACTGTCCAGAAGCTGCAGTCGGTACAGAATGCTGTGGCCAGAGTGTTCACCGGATTGGGTCATAGGGACCACATACCTCTAGTCTGGTTCCATCTATTCTGGCTTCCAATTTGCTTCTGGGTTCAATTCGTGGTGCTGGTATTGACCTTTAAAGCCCTCCGTGGCCTGGGACCAACATACCTCAATGACTGCCTTCTCTGCTTTACAACTGTTGGCCTGAACCTTGTTATTTAGGTTTTCACTTTGCATAACTTAAACATCGTCATGCTACATGTTAATTTGTTGTTAACTCCCTGTCTATAAGTTTAGAACCTCATCTGCCATTCCAATGTATTTGAAAAAGTCTGCTTTGCACACAAAAACTCATACCTTGAATAAACCTTTGCTGGTCGTAAGGATGCCACTGGACTCTAAATTTGTTCTACCGCTTCAGACCAACACGGCTTACTACCTGGATCTATCTTTCAAATGTCTGTCTCCTATGTACCCCAAAAGCCATTGTAGATTTTAATTATCTTTGTCTCATCACTTTTGAGCAAGAAATTGCATAGAGATTTGCTGACAAGAGTTGGGGTCCCATACCTGTGAAGTCTTCCGAAAGTTTGCTCGTCCCGAGTGCTTTCCATTGTTTGACGTACCTAGACAACAACAGCATACAAGTACACTCCATGAAACAGAACCACGACAAGCAAAAAGACGTGTTAAGGTTTTCTTTTCCCAGAATGGATTTCAACCACACAGACGGATGAGAAAGTATTGCTCTCAGTACAATCTGAAAGAAACCAGGACAGCCTTTTCAACAATAGTGAAGATAGAGAAGGAGAAAAGACCACTTAAAAAAAAAAAGTTACTCTTCATAGTTGAGTGCATTTGTCCATTTTAACATTTCATCCACTTCCCATTCCATCACGCTATCTAGCCCTTCGTTTCCCTGGCAGGCAATTAACCCTTCTGCTGCTCGTTGGATTAAGAATGTTTCAGTTGGGTCCAGTGTTTTAACCTGCAGGCGTTCTCCATAGTACCTAGAAAACAGGGAAATGTTTTTTCATTGTATGTGTGTTGCTCACTGTGTTTTCACTGTAGGTGGCAGTTTAACCTTAGGCTTACACTGCAGCTAAGATTTTTTTAAAAAATAGCCACTTCACAAGCCTATGACTAAATGCTGCAGTAGAATCTAATTTAAATTGCTTTTTTTTCTCTTTTCAAAATATTTTTAATAAAGATTTTACAAGAGTAAAATGTTTCGACTTTATCTCTGGATACTGATCAATGTTAACCCATTATAGGAATAAACATTTAAGATTAAAAGGGCAAAACAAAGCACATGAACAGCATTTAAAAGGACTCGGCTAAGAAAAGAAACTAGCACTTCCGTAATACATTCAGATACACCCTTTTATCTGCAGAATTGAATGCTATGAAAAAACCCTAAACACTTTTTATAGAAAGATGGGAGGAGCTATGCTGGATGTTTCCCAGCAGAGAGGAACCAGCACATTTAAGGCAAACTATCATGTTTGGGAAGAGAGCTCCAAAACTTACTCGATGTTAACAACAAGGTGCTGTATGAAAGAACAAGAACATCAAGTGAACGCCCACTTCTGTCCGGGCTGTGCAAGCCCTCCCAAGTGCTCACTCGGGGCAGCGCTATTTCTAGAGGCATCCATGAAATGGATGTGAGTCCAGCAGCATCTTCGAGACCCCAACAAGATTTTCAGAGTAGAAGCTCTCAAGAATCAAAAGCTCCCTTCACCAGACACTCAAAAGCTTAGACCCTGAAAGTCTTGTTGGTCTCCAAGGTGCTACTGGACTCAAATCTGACTGCTCTGCTGCAGATCCACACAGCTACCCTCTGAAAGTATCCATGAAACTGTGTGATCTGAGAGGTGTGTCCAGCATTCCCCTTAGGGTGCACGGGCACAAGACTCCAGTTGCACACAGCCAATGCTCCCTCTAAACTGTGGAGTCTTGTGAGCAAAAGTTCTACTCCGTGAGCTACTGGCATGAAAGTTTTGAGCGAGCGATTTGGGCGAATGCATCAATTAGTTTGCTCTGGAGCCATCCTTCCTGAGCTAAGACAAAAATGTGTGAGCCGGAGGCTAAAAAAACTGAGCTAGCTCACACTAACTCAGCTTAGAGGGAACACTGCACACAGCCACTTGCAGTCTCATTTCAGGGACTGGAACTCATGCACTGTCTTTACAAATCTCAAAAGTCCTGCGAGGTAAGAGGTGTCTCCATTTTGGCAACTTGTAGTTAAAGAGCAAACTGGCTTTAGTTCTGCATCAGGTTTCTGACATTTTGGGCATTAGGAAGCCTCCTTGAGTTGCTTCCAGTAATGGTGCCTTCGATGAGACAAGACACAGATTGTTGTGTTAAAGAGACAAGTTCTTGATGCAGGCTTAGAGCTAAAACCACCATTCAGGTGAACCTGTTGCTCTGTCTTCTGTGCTGATATTCCCAGTCTGCTTTTGGTATGGGGATGAGCCCTCTTAATGCCTGGGATTCCCAGTCTTCTAACTCAGAGAGCTAGGAAAACGAACTATGTGGATACACCTTGTGAACAGGGAGCTTCAAAAATGCACTACCAAGGATGGATATCAACAGGGAGCGGTTTCCGTTTTTAATATCATGTCCAACTAATTTGACCCTCTGTGCTGACTGATGAATAAACAACCTATTTGACCTTCTGGATTATTGACTATATTTTTCACCCACCTTTTGTACCCAAGGAAATAAAGTGTATCATAAATAAAATAAACAGGGAGAGATGTGACAAATCCTAAAACCAGTTAAAACCATAATTAAACTGTTAAAAATTCAGGACAACAAAAACCAGCCCAGTACTCCGAAAGGCCTCCAAGAACAAGTGTTTTTTTAATGGACAATTTTAGAAATAGCTGCAGGAGACAGAACAGAAGGGGAGTTCCAAAGCTTGGGAATGGCAGGTGAAAAGGCCCTCCCCCCAGAAGTTCCGCCCAGTCATATTCTAACCAGGGCAGATTTCTGCTGCAGCCACACACAGACACACACACCCAGCAAATTCAAGATCCAGGCAAGTTGATATGGATGGAAGCGATTCTTCAGAAACTGTGAGCCCAAAGCTCTTTAGGGCTTTAAAGGTCAAAACAGCACTTTGAACTGGAATTATGTTAAATTCTTCTGCTCCCCGATCAATATTGTCATGCTCTGCACAGAACACACAAAAGGGCATCGCCATCTATGTGCTCAGGACTCAGTGCAAATTAAGACACCTCCATGGTTGTCACGGTGACCACAAAGTCCCTATCTACCCCACATCATGAAGAACTTTAAATCTCCAGCAGCAATCAACCCAGTCAGCTCACTTTGGGAGACTAAGCGGCTAGGTGGGTGGGGCACCAAAAGAAACCCTCGGCTGTTTTGTGAGACCAACATAAGATAAAAATCACTCGTTTTGGTAACTGCTACAGATTCTGGTAAGAGTCTGACAGACTACAAGGTCTCTGCCCCTCCCAACCACTGGATCTAGACTGTTGTTGTACCAAGATAAGCCGGGGGACATACTTGTAGCAGGCCATCCCCACCTCCTTCATCAAGCCCAGTCTTACTAACAAAACAGACTGGCATATTAATTCACCATATAACTCTGGATTATTACTGCTTCACCATTGACTGACCAGGCATTCAACAATAGGATTTTTAGACTGGATGCATAAGAGACAGAGCACCCTGGGTACTAAGTTCTTGGATGCCATCTTAAAGAATGGGGGGCATTGTTTCTTGAGAAGTTACAGGAATATTATCCTACTGGAAAGGGTTTTATATTGAATGAAGATTTATTGTAATTTATTTGTGAGAGTTAAGCAACAAGTGGCTTCGATCCCCAATTTGATGCATATTGTGTTTGCAGTTTCTTGCAGGTGTCCAGTTTTATAATCCTTGAAACCAGTGCTAAAGTATCCTTGAAACCAATGCTGAAACTGATCATGCCTGCACAATTTATGACCCACCAAGCCAAATGTAGCTTATCATCCATGTACAGGAGCCTGCCAAGTGCCCTGTCTTTATAATTCCAGGCAGGCAGCAGGAAGGGTGGAGACTACCATGCAAGCCCAGGCCACTTTCTTGGGAGTAAACTCCAAGTGAAATACATGGGACTTAATTCTGAGCTGTTTAGGACTGTGTCACAGTTTATGCAGGCCCACAATAAACAGAAAGCATCAGCCAAGAACACCACTGTCAAGTAGTATTTATTTAACCCATGATTTACAGCAGCCTCTGCTAAGCTGACCAGTAACAGAGTTTTGCAGGGATGTTTATTAGGCCTTAGTTATGATTCGATACATCTGTTTGGATGCTAATTAAAAGTACTGAGAAAACAGGTCTACTATCATGCACTGGACTTTCAAGAAGCAGTAACTCACATTTTTTTTAGCCATTCTATTTTTCTCCTTTTCCTCCTTTTCTGTATTTCTTGTTTCTTCTGCACCTTGCTGTAATGAAATTCCTTTACTCTGATGTTATCTTCAGCAGTTATACTGTCCAGGGCCTTCCAAAACTAAAATACATGGTTGGACCAGGTCACAAGCTGTTTCATATTAGAACTTCTCCAAGAATTTGCTAAGCCCTTTGTTCCCTGGATCAAAGCTCACTGTAGGGTTGCCAGCCTCCAGGTGGTGCCCAAAGATCTCCTGGAATTACAACTCATCTCCAGACAAACAGAGATCAGTTGCGATGGAGAAAATGGCTGCTTTGGAGGATGGGCTCTATGACGCCACATCCCTGTTGAGCTCCCTCCTCTGCCCAAACTGTGCCTTCCCGGGGTTCCATCCCCAGATCTTCAGGAATATCCCAACCTGAAGGTGCGTCAACCCTAATCTGTTGTCTCTGTTCAATGCCCTCAAAGATACTTATTTTTGGCCAGACTCAGGTCTCTGGCGGTCCCCAGCTGCCATCATCAGCACAACCCAAACTCTCTTTCACCTCTTTCTCTCCCTTTGGTTACATTTTAATGAAATCTGCAACACCTTGTTGGGCTCTGAGTTTGGTTGCCATTTGCAGAGGAAACACAGAGCAGGACAAAGGCATGTTGTGTGGAACGGTCAACAATGTCTAGCTTGGGCCTTAAGACATCTGAAAATTATCTAGGTCATTTTAAAAAAATCGTGTAGAGCTTGTTCTTTCACCCTAGTAAAGCTTACCTTGTAATGAGCAGTGAGTGTTTGTTGTGAGAACAGCATTCACTATGGAGTTAGCCACACTGGTTTACAAAAGCAGCTGATACGAGATTATAGAAAGCAACAGGAGCTCTGAAAATGCTTCAGGTGTAAGCCATAGCGAGCACATCACAACCATACCCAAACAGGCTATACTGGTATTTTTGTAAAAGATAATAATAAAAGGCAAATGGAGCGGTTTCCTTACCCTGGGGGAAAGAAGTCTCCAGCCGTTATTCTCTACCCGTTGGTACCACCCACACAAGTCCTCCCTGTTGTCTCCCTGGAACTTTCCTCGTCGTCGTTGTCCCTTTAGGGTTGTAAGCGTTGCATAGTCTTTAGGACTGTTAGCACACATATCCACGATAGGTCTGTGGGTAAATACTTTGTAATATATGCACGGAGGAAACTTTGGCTGCAAAGAAATAGCCGTTTTAAAAAAATGAGAAATTCGATTATTATTTGTTGCTACTTATTTCTTTGTGTTATTTATAGTCAGCCTTTCTCACTGGGACTCAAAGCAGATTACACAGGTGATACAATCAACAAGACGGGACATGCGATAAACAAATCGGATTTGCTTTGCAGAACCAACCAGAAGTTTAAAAACAGAACGGAAGCAAAGTAAGAGTATTAACGTAACACGTTAAATGATGCAAAGCTACACAACAGGATCCAACGTACACAGTAGTACAGACCATGGTCCCCAATAATTTATCCAAGTAACTTTGTGAAGCCTTTTTGTACAGAGCTACCCTGTTGCCTGTGAAGAAAAGTCCTCTTGAATCATTCAGCTTTGTGTAGTTTGCAGAAAGCTATTACAGTAACCAAATGTGTTAAAG